ATAATAAGTTTTTCTTTTGAGAAATAGTATAAACAATATGCAATTCGATCATATAGTTATTAATATCCGATTAATATAATATTTGGTAGACATGAAGTATTCAACAAATCTTACAAAATGAACGGTTCAGATTATAAAAATAAGTCCATAATACACTTCAAATTGAGACACAACAATCACTGATGTGCCTTAGTATAGCAGTGGCCCCATTTCCCTTACTTATAGACTAAACTACCTTTTTTTTTTTCCTTCTAATTTCATATATTTTAACATTATATACTTTTCAAAATAGAGTTTTTCTAAAAAAATAATTTTTTTATCATAAAGGTAAATGTCCATTATTTTTAAATGACATTTTGTATTTTTTTTTTTAAATATTCTTTATTTTGAATCCTTAGAACCTTAATATGCAATGGTGATAGTGAATGACAATGTTGAAGCATTTGTTTTTAAATAAATTCATATTCCTTTATTGATTGATCTTATAAAATATTTTCGTTTAATAATAAAATTTTCCTAGATCTTCATTGTCTCATAAAATTATTTTCCTTTAATAATAAAATTTTCCTCATTCATTGCCTTATAAAAATATTCTCCTTTCTATGATGTTCGGCCACATGTTCAGGCTCATGTTTAGGGTCAAGAGGCAAATTATGTTCATCAGGCACATGTTTAGGCTCATGAGGCGCATTAAGCTCATCAGGCTCATGAGGCAAATTAAGCTCTGGTCCGTGGTGCTGGGGAGGATGTTTCATGGGGCATGGGAACATTGTGTCTGCGAGCTTTATGGGAATACAGATGTTGGCAATGTAGTGTTGCCCAAATGTCAAGAGTAGGGAAATAAATCCAAGAACCATAAGCTCTGCAAAAATTAATCAAGAAGAAGATAGCTTACTAAGAATAAGAGAAACACAAGAAAAAAATCAATTGCAAAAACCAACAACCCATATAATGATATAACTTCATAACTATTTTAAAAGTATTATATCTTAGGATCAAGTGCTCATGTAGTTACCGGCTTTAATTTTCTTGAGCACTTCCAGCATAGGTTTCTTGTGTCTTTGCCTAAACCACTGAAAATAAACATTGTTTCTTATAGGAGAGAAACCAATGAAGAAACTAAAAATAGATGTGAAACATAAAAATTCCAAGCAGTAGAGATTTGATTTTTTTATTCTTTCATTGTTCAGTCCAGCATTAAGAAAAGCTTTCTGTGTGAATTGAGTTTCGAACCCAAAATTCATCGTATGGAAAAGAAGAACAACTCTTCAATCTGATCGTTTTCCTTAGCAATCCACCAACTTATGGATGTCATTTTCCAAAACAGAAACAAAACAGTTCTAGAGAAACAATGTGTTACCTTGAGTCTTAGGTGAATAATCTATTGAATAAATAATTTAAATAAACACAAAATAAAAAAATAAAGGTATTCTCAAGAAACCTCTTCTAATAATTTCTTTCTTTTTTTTTTTTTTTTTTTTCCCTTTTCTTTTTGTTTGAATTCAATTTCAACAGCCCCAAAAGGGAAGAAAACCAGAACTTCACGCCACCAAGAATTACAAATTTACAATCTATTCAACATGCAGATTTTATATATATATATATATATAGCAACAAATTTCAAACACTGAAAAAAATGAAGATTACCTAATCTCCCAAAAAAAAAGAAAAAAGAAAAAGGATATATATTACTTAAAGTTATTTCTTTAGGATATAATATTATACTAACATTAAAGACTTATTCTAAGATTGCAATTTCCAAGAATATGATTTCCTTTCAAATGAAATTCAAATCCACATCAAACAGAATTTAATTGACTTCGATTGTAGCCTTCCAATGCAGATAAAAAATAAAAAAACATTACAGAGAAAATAAATGTACGAGATAATGCAATTGAAGAGAAAGACAAACATACTTAAAGTACCAAATCCAGGGGAAAATGAACAATTTTTGGAGCGGATCGTGATTTCAACCTTTTGAATCGAGTGGTTCGACATACGAATTGTTGTTAGATCTGAAGCACACATGAACAATTCAGTCAAATCTGCTGATCCAAGTAAAATATGCTCACCTGAAATTGATAGGTTAAATTCAAAGCAACCCCTCATGAACGTGATTTCCCTTCAAATGAAATTCAAATCCACATCAAACAGAATTCAATTGACTTCAATCTTAGCCTTCTAATGCAGATAATTCAATTCAACCTTAACCCTAAAAAACATTATAGAAACAATAAATGTAGGAGATAATGTAATCGAAGACAAAGAAACAGAATTCAATTGACTTCGATCGTAGCCTTCCAATGCAGATAAAAAATAAGAAAATAAATGTAGAAGATAATGCAATCGAAGACAAAGACAAACATACATGCATATAAAGGAACAATTTCTTGAGAGAAAGTACCACATTCAGGGGAAAATGAACAATTTTTGGAGCAGATCGTGATTTCAACCTATTGAATCGAGTGGTTCGGGATATAAATTGTTGTTAGATCTGAAGAAAATTGATCAAACTTGAAGAAAATTGACAAAATTTGAAGAAAATTGACAAAGCAAAACCCTTATTGTGGATTCAATGCGAAAAGAGAACGCTCCGTAGAAACCGAACCTATTTCCTCCGAGTGGTGATGATGAACAGCAGCGAAAGAAGAACCCATTTCCTCTGAATGTGAAACACAACAGAGAGAGACCGAAATTACCTTGCGAAGAGAGAGAACCTTGCGAGTGGTGATGATGAGCAGTGGCAAATCGACTTCAACAAAGACAAAAATGATGAACAACAGAGCTAGATTGAAGATGTATTTCGGGAAAAAAATACAACAAAGAGAGAGAGGAGGACAAGAATAGAGGTGGTCGATGGTCGCGATGGCAGTGGTCGAGAGAGAATGTCACGCCCTCAAAATAATGACATTAAACCCATCAATATAAACATACATTTATATACAAAAGATCCACATTCCCTCAATTAATCAGAGTACTTCATTACAAAAGTATTACACGTTAACAACAAAAGTAAATGGCCTACGGGCTTACAGCTTTCCAAATTATCACTTGGTTACAAAAGAGAGTATTAACTCGGTTACACATTAAGCCGTTGGCTTGAATTTACATTTAATACATCAAAGGAAAAAAATAAGGCAACAAAAGTATGTCTTGCCCCTAGCCTCCCAAGCTATGTCCTTAGAGGCGGCATGCTACCTGTACCTGAAAATGATGTTCCCATAAAGGGTGAGCCACAGCCCAGCAGAGATATACTAAACCAACTATGAACAATGATTAAAAGATTAGCAACTGATAGATGGTCGATACTTACACTTCCATTTACATCTTATTTCAATTCCATGACCACCAAACCTATGTTACAATTCACTTTTCATTTCTTATTCAACTTTGAGTTTGAAAACAGGGTTCAGTACTCTGGCCAAAACATTTTGATGAGATTATAGTTCATCACTAGAACATTTTCAAAATTCACGATGGATACACATTTTGGTGTTGTATCAATAACACATAAACTACATCCATGCTTTACAAACGATGATGATATACATTTTAGTGCTATATCAATCAAACAAACTTTTCAATAGATAAGCATATTAGCTATATCTGTAATAACCCGACCCTCGTACATGCTCTTTGTTATATTTTTGGGTCCTATTTTGGTGATTTTGAATGGTTACTGTGGAATCCTTAAGTGAGTAAACCATGTGATTAAAAATGTCTATCTGTTCAATAAGAAAAGTATCTGTTGTATGAGAATGTTTAGATCAGAAATTGGAAGCCTTAGAGGCCTAATTACCTGGAATTGATTTCACATATATGATCAGCATGATTTTTAAGTAATATTAAGCATGTTTATGAAATTTTAATTTGGGGATGCTTAAACGATTCATTTTTGTCCCTATTCAAGTTATCTATGTATATGTATATATATTTATAAGAGTCTTGTGACTCATAAGACTTGAGAATCACATTTCTTCTAAGGGAAGGTGAGGAGGGAGAGAAATTGAAGGGTAGAGGAAGGAGATTATCAAAGGTTGGGAATTTGTGGAAGGTTAAGCACAAGGTATGTTTAAGATTATCTCAATTGACTCCCATACTTCATTTGTTTTAAGATGTGTGTGAAATACCCTCTTGATCATGTCACTTGGGGGTTGGAATTGATTCAATTAAAATTGGATATGGAGAAGTTATGTTTTCTCTTATGTTTTCTCTTCATACTTTGAACTTAAGTGTAGAACATGATTTTGTATCTCCATGTTATGCCATGTGCATGAGAAGCTAAGAACCTTAAGATATGGAAGTGTGCTTATGAGTTCCAACTTTTGGTCCATTGAATTGAGTTGTGTGCATGAATCTAATTCAAGCTAGAGAAGATTGTATGTTGAACCTTGAATTTCATGCTTTTTGAACCATGATTTAGTAATGAAAAGATCTAATTTAGAGTCTTGAACACACTCCTAAAAGAATAGAATTTTTTAGCAAATTTCGGACTGAAAATGCAGAATCGCCGCACGTGCGGGAGTCATGGCCGCACGTGCGGGAAGTGCCGCCGCACGTGCGGGAAGTGCCGCCGCACGTGCGGGGGTTGTGGCCGCACGTGCGGGAGAGGGGCAAATTTTGGGGCTTTTGTTCTGCTAAAAAGGCACGTGCGGGACCTCAGGGCCGCACGTGCGGGGCCAACTGCCGCACGTGCGGGGCTCACAGCCGCACGTGCGGCTCATGCTGAAAAATATGGTTTGCTCCGTTTTGCGTGTAGAACCCTCTAATATTGTCGGAATATGTATTTGATGTCTTTTAATATGTATAAATTCCTTCGAAGTAAAACGGAACAGAAAGTGATCTAATATGAAAAGGAAACTAAAGTGTGTAAGGTTGAATGTGTGCAGGGCACACTCCGGGAAGAACAAGCACGTCGTCGCAACACTGTGAGTAGTAGTATCATTATCTTCCTTACACATGAATAATGATTTTCATTGGCATTTCGTTTACGCGACTATGTTAATGTCTCAAGTACGCAACTAAGATTAATGTTTCAAATGTGTAAGTATGTATGTCAATGCTCCAGTATGCTCCAAGTATGTAATAAATGAAACAAGAAAGATAAAACACCTATGTTCTATAAGACTCTGGGCCTATGGCCATTCAAGATAAGTTATCAAGATACGGAACAAAGTGCTACACGGAACTAAGTGCTACGACGTGAGCCACCTCTAGAATCCGTGTGAGACACCTCTTGAGTCCGTATAAGTGTGATTTTCAAGGGCTTTATGCCATTTTCAAGGGCTTTATGCCATTTTCAAGGGCTTTAACGCCAACAAGTACAAGGGCCTTGTGCCACAAGTTTCAAGGGCCTTGTGCCACAAGTTTCAAGGGCCTTAGTGCCATATGTTACAAGGGCTTTGTGCCACTATGTTTAAGGGCATTATGTCACCATGTTAAGGGCTTCAAGCTGTTATGAATTAAGAATATGATATATCAAGTTTTTATGTTCAGGTATGGGCCTAAGGCCGATATAAGATGCATACAGAATCAGGCTACCCTTGTAATCTCTGCATTCATATCTATAATGTTATATGCCATGTTCAAGTTGAGCATTGCTTCATTATGTATTACTATTCACTGAGCCCGGCTCACTCTCTGTTATGTCTGTTTCTGTAGGCAATCAACCAGGTGGTCAACCCTAACCTATGATGCCCGGTTCCTTTTGACAACCTTCGTGTATCCAAGCACTTATAAGGCCACCCACTTTGTGAAGTCTACTAAGATAATTGGCTTATTTCTTGGCTACCCTCCCAAGGTTGATGGTGTTCAACTCCAATAGTTTTGTTGCATGCCCGATTATAGGGCTGGGTCTGTATATGAGTTTATAAATATATCTTCTGCTAAGGAATATTTTTGGATTCTATCAACTTCTTATGGTGCATGTAATGTATGAGATCCTGGCATGTTAGAAATAGCTCAATGGAATTTGTTTGGTTTTGTATTCTTGTATGTTATGTGCTTCCGTCAAAGGCCCCATACACTATATGTATACCAGGTTATATGTCTATTTGAGAATAGGTCATGCCCGAACTTTTAGGGGCGAGTTAGGGGCGTGACAATATCACTATTACAACAGATAAGCATATGAGCTATATCAACATTCCAATAGATAAGCATGTTACACATCAACAGATAAGCATATTAGCTGTATCCACACTTCACTAGACAAGCCTATGAGCTATATCTACACTTCACTAGACAAGCATATGAGCTGTATCTACACTTCACAAAGATAAGCATATGAGCTGTATCTTCACTTCTCTAGACAAGCGTATGAGCTGTATCTACGGAGTTCATCCCCCATCTCCTCCCAATCCTATCCGGTTTAGAGGTACATCCCCCATCTTCCCCTAAACCGCGGAGTACATCCCCCATCTCCTCCTCTATTCCACTCAACATTCTTTTCTGTGAGATAATTCATTACTATAAGTTGAACCCAATGCAACTTGCCATCAATTCCTATCGAGTAATTAATGGCATAATAACCTTAGCCAAACAAGAAAACGCTAGGATCACCTTAGCTAATATCCAATACTGCTACATCATGTGTGGCCTTAAAAGAGATACGGGCTATGTTTATTACCTTAAGCCGAGGTCCACGGAGTACAAAATCGTAGCCGACCTCCCTGACTCCAACAAGGGAGCTGGGGATAACTATTTCATTACCTCGGGGAACTGGGAGTTTGCTCCAGACAAGGACATCCATCTCTACCCTCTTCCTCGAACCATTTTTGTAGAGGGCAATGGTAAGAGCCCTGCGCCCATACTTACTTGTTTTCAAAGTTTTTCAAAGTCTTTAATACTTTATCTGCTTCTATCATCTGTTTTGCTTGCAGCTCTTCCTCAGCCACCAAAGGGCTTTCGTCAGTCTTTCTTTCCCAGCAAAGACTTGAGGAGCCTTTCTCTTTGACCTTAGACCAGCTAACAGAGCCCCCAGATTTCTCATACGGTATCTTATAGCATTGAAGTCCCCCAGAAACATAATAGGAGTTTTGGACTGCAAATGGGAATTAGTAGCCATATACTCAAAAAACTCTTTTTGAATGTCAGGTTTATTATCAGCATAAACAAAACATATTTTGAACATGTTATCAGAAGAAAAGTCATGAACTCCACAAAAAATATATTGATCAGAAGCTAACCGGTTTAGAGGTACATCCCCCATCTTCCCCTAAACCGTGGAGTACATCCCCTATCTCCTCCCATACACAAGTAATGCATATAAACACAGAATCACATATGCAATCAATCAATACATAAAATTAATGTATTCTATCAACCGACATGCTCTATGACACATCCAATTGATTAGTTTTAGTTTGTCTAATCATCAAGCATTGTCTACAACTGCAGACGACCAAAATGCTGAGAGAAGGAAAT